GACGATTCCCTCGGCTCCTGCCCTCGGCGGGGCAGAGGCTGGGCGCCTTGAAAGCCTGCGGGAGCTGGCGGTGCAGGCGCGATCAGGGCTGCTCGTCGGGGGTTAGCAAAGCCCACTCCGCTTCCCTAAACACGGGGAATACAAGACGGGCCGAGGTCACCTCCATAACGAGGGGAGAGAGGGAGAATCGTGCTACACCGCCCTGGAAACATTTTTTTGTTTTCAAGAGAGGGCAATAGGATCAACAGGGCAAAATACACCTGATCTTACAGCGACGACCCAAAATATATCGGCAAATTAAGCGCATCTGATGTTACTGCACGAGATCCGATGCAAGACCTTTTTCTCTTGGCTTTCTTCGCTCCCCGCTGACTTAGCTGGGGCTAACTAAAAATGACGGGCTCGAAACAAAAGAAAAGCCTTGGGTTTTGGAAAGCCACTCCCGCTCCTGGCCGTGCATCCCAGCCTCGGGGCTCTTTCAGCCTAGCATGAAATGCTGAACTTGGCATGGCCCCGCATGTGCTCGTCGGCAGGGTCGCGGTGTGCGCGTCTCCGCGCCCCGGGGTGAGGGGAGAGGTGGTGCGGGAGCCTGGCAGCAGCCGGGAGGAGAGGGGCGAGCCCGGATGCCTTCGCCTCTGCAGTCCTCCCCGGGCCTCAGGCCCACGCGGGTGGGCAGGGACGTCTTGTCAGTGTCCCCGTGCCAGGGGCCTTCGGAGGGCTTAAAGCAAGGCTGTGACGGCTTTCAGCGAGTATGCTTTAGCGAGATAGGGAATAAACGTGTGAATTGCCGAGCGTCCCGTCATGTAACGTTCCCCGCAGTTTGAGCCCTTTTGGCTGAACGAGAGGTTAAACTCCAAGTGCACTTGAAAATACTCCGGAGACAGCATGATCGGGCAGAAGCACGGGCCGTCGGGGGAGGCGGGTAAAGGAAACAACGGCGGAGGAGTGAAGTGCTCTTGCTTTTCAAGCACCGCAGCGGGGAAAGTTGCAGTAACTTCCTAACGACGGAAACCAATTTAGGGGAGACAAGGAGAGAGCAAACAAGCAGAGAATGCATACGTTTCGAGAAGGGAGGCCGTAAGCTCCCGACACCGTTCCGTGCACGGAACGGCGTTAGTTGTCTCAGTTACCTCCCCTGCTCCCTTGCGCTCTTCTCCCCGCAAAGCCCTGCCCGACCTGTCGGTGGCTTCAGGCGAGGCTCGGGCTGCTGGAGCGCGCCGCGCTGCGCTGCCGGCCTTTTCCAGCCGGTCCCCGGCCCCTACCTCTCCTCGTGCTGCTCTCTGCTCCCAGCTTCTCCTGGTGTGGCAGGGGCCAGCCCCGCCGAGTCTCTTCTCTGCCTATTTTATTTCAGGCGACTGAGATGCGGTTCGCCTTGTGCCTCGCAAACTTTCCCCGAGCGCTGCTGTGCCCGCAATAAGTTCTCTCGGCAAGCATTTGCCTCCCAAATACGGATATAATCTGCCTGGGCTTTTCTTTTTAATGACTTCCTTGGAATCAATGCTGCAAAGCTCTTTATCTTATACTGCAATACGGTATGTGGCGTTGTACACATATGGTTTAGGTTTTTCTTCCTAATTCTTGCGAGCTGGGCAGCTCTGAGTTGGGAAAGGCGTGTTTATACGTGTGTGACTCTTTCCACATTCTAATACATTGCAGTGCATTGCAGTGGCATAAGGCGGTTTGGGAGATCTGTTTGGGCAAAGAGATTAAACTACTCCTCGAGCAAAAGCACTTTAAGGAAGATTCCGAGGAAACGATTCCATCCTAAAGACAAAAAAAAAATGCCCTGGGAAATCGTAATTGCTATTGCGGAAAATAGGCTGAGCAGGGAGGGACCTATTCTGTAGCAAACCATCAAGAATCAGAATTAAGATCCCGTGTAAAAATAAACAAACAAATAAATAAATTTAAAAAATAAATAAATAAAGGAAGGTATGTGCAAAGCTGCTTCTAAAATAGGATGCGTGCAAAGGCTGGAG